CACTATTTTAGTGGCTCTGTAGCCTTCCTACTATATACACATATGTATCCAAAGTTTACCTTCTAGCACTAATGTAGAAACATCGAGTGCTACGGGCTATAATTTCTAAGGCTCTGTAGCATTTATAATGTACGAATATGTATCCGTAGTACTAAAGCAAGCCACGATTTGAAGTCATTGTATCTTAGGCGCAGTTTTATGAATGAAAATGTGAGCCGCCAATATTAGTTAAGTACAGCCAAACCAAAATGGTGTGGCAGGTGCGTATGTGTGATACACACCTTTGTGTAACATTCTTTACATTCCTCCAACCAATCCATTGGACCGCTGTACCCATAATTTTTTTTAACTTACGTCAAAGTTCCGACAGCTCTATATCTCCCTTGACTCGTCAAGCAGTTAAAGTGCTCATCACTTGCTTCTGAAGCTCCTTAGTGTTTCAAACACTTGCACCTTTAGTGTCAAAATCGGAGCACCTGCGTCGAAAGCCCCTTAGTATTCAAAGCACTTGATCATTTAGCGCTAATTGCCTAGTGCTTGATTAAAAAGCTTATCAGTGTTCTAAACACTTGCTCCTTGACAGTTAAAGTCCTTAATCCTTTAATGTTAAATCATTTGCTCCTTGAGCATCTTAAGTCCTTTCACTTTGCGCTCCAATACAGCCAAAGCGTTACACGCTTGCGTTCCTGCTCTAGAGCCATTGCGTCGTCTCATCATGGATGAGGCGCAGCCCCCTACTGACCTTGCTTCCACAGCACTTAGCTCTGAGAAGCACCTGTCGACTGCTGTCGCCGCTTCTGATCTTCCCTGATCAAAAGCTTCGACGACGTCCGGGCAGTCTTGACGGAGGGGTACCTCGTACTCCCATGAGTCATACGACTGAGGGTACCCCCTCCACTTTACCAGATACTGGGTGTGACCCTGGTGACAACGTCGCGCCAAGAGACGCTCGACGTGAAGCTGTTGACGACACAGATCATCAGTCAGCGTTGGCGGAGGTCGGTGACCCATCGATCCATGATCTTCTGGTACGCCTTCAGCGTCCATATGCACCTCCGGTGCCGTACTACCCGCCTCCTTTGGCCGAGAGTATGGGGACAACCAG